AAAAAAAATAAGAAAAAAAAAATTAAAAATTAAAAATTTGTCAAAAATTTTATAAAAAAGTTAATTAAAATAAAATAACATGCATACATACACAGTTCTTGTGTACCTGACCAATGTTTATAAACGTACAGACTAGTTGCTTCTTCCTTTCCGTGAGCACATACATTTTAGTTTCAAGAACACGCTGCTTAGAAGAATATCTCGAAACATGAATCGTAAGTAATAAATTAAATTATTATGCTCTTGAATCATATTATATTTGTAAAATTATTATTCATAAATTGAATAAAATTTTTCAATTTTTAAATATAATAATATGAAAAATAGCACAAGAGCTATGACTAGAATTATGTGTTAATGTTTCTTATATTTACGAAATTGTCTTTAAGGATATAAACGTTTCAATCGATTATTCATCCAATATACATTACATTAAAAGAAATACAATAATTTTAACATTGGAAATACATAAAATCAAAAGTTTTAACTGTAAAACATTCAATGTCCATTTTTTTTAAAAGCTATGTCACTTGAGAAACCTTAAACATAAAAATAGAGCAAAATTAACAGTTATTGGGGTAATGTTACATTATACAAAGGTTCTCAGTTATCTGTACTTGTTGACATCGCAAGTAATGAAAATCTTTTGTGGTTAAAATTTTTAATTTAATGTATTTTAAATATTAAACTGATTCTTTTATTGTAACATATATTGAGGATAATCGACTGAAGCGTTTATATCTTAAAAGACAATTTTGTTAATATAAGAAAAATTGACACATATTATTAAATCGTAGCTGTTATACCGTTTTTTATTTTATTTAATTTATCTGTTAGCAAATAATTAGAAAATATTTGATTATTAGTTTCTTTCTTCTCTCTTATATATATATATATAATTTAATAAATATGTATTAATTTTTGCAGAGGAAAATATAATGGACGTGGAAAATTTATCCCTAGAAGACGTGACAAATGTGCAGCAAATGATGCAACTCATGTTGCATCAACAGCAAGAAATGCAAAAAATACAACAACAGCTGAATTTAATTACAGAAAAATTAAAAGAAAAAGAAGTGGAGAAAGAAGCAGAACAATCGAGAGATGAGCAGCAGCAACAGCAGCAGCAGTCGGAACAAGCCGGCGATAATGGTACATTATTTATTAATTTAAATACAATATCAGAGAATTTTCCATATCAGGCTAGTGTAATAATATCTTATTAATATATATGAAAGAGGCTAATGGAGCCACCGCTGGTTGTTGGTGCGAATTTTTTTATCTCTTATATTTTTCTCTCGTTTTCCTTCCTTTCAAATAACTTCCTTACTTTAATCATACATTCCGATTCTTGAATAATAAGATCGATGTATGCAATTCTCGTACACTTTAGTGTCTCGAATCTGAGATTAGTGTACATTTTAATGTCTCAATGCAGACGAATCAAGTTTCTATACAAAACATAAAAAATTTCGCACTAACAACCAACGGTGGCTCCATTAGCCTCTTTCATATATATTGATATTTATTTATTTTTTTGTAACTAGATGATTTATTCATATGCATAATTGTTTTAAATTATTAATCTATAAATGTGTTTATTTTTAGAAAAAAAAAGAAGAGGAGGTGGTTGGTCGCGTGCACGGTGGTACGCTCGGCAAAACTTGACAACGTGACAATCATGTTAGACCAGGTCCTTCTGGAATTACAAAAAGAAGAGGAGGCCAAAATAACAGAGGTGGCCGCGGGAACAGAAGTCGGGGAAGAGGTACTACAAGAGGTCATACAATAATAAAAAACTATTATTTATCATAAATTAATAAATTTTATAAATTTTATTTTATTATTTTTTTATTGACTAACTTTTCTTATTGACTAACTTTCTTGTTGATCTCAAATATTAAATAATTTTAATAAATTTTATTATTTTATTTTATTTTAATTAACATTTTTATTATAAAATTTTTGACAAATTTTTAATTTTTAATTTTTTTTTCTATTTTTTATTTGTAAAACCGACGAGCTAACATTGATTATATCAATGTTAAAACTAACTTTTTTATTAATTTTACAACAAATCTTGCGTCTAAATTATATTTGTTTTAACTCAGATCTTAATGTAAATCAGCGTGCGTTTTCATATGTATTTTATTTATTTCACACTAAGGATAGCCTGATGACAGGCTATGAAATGTCTGTTTATACTAATGTTATTATAACTCAATACAAGTTTGTTTGCACTAAAATCTAGCGTTTTGATTCCTATTGCTCCTTTCCTTTTATAATTTTATTATTTGTTGACCTTTATCATTTTTAATTAAGATAAATAAAATTTCATTAATATGTCTACAAAGGACACCACACATATAAACAACAGGCATGTAACAAGTATTTTGTCTGCAAATGACACACTTGTAAACGATATGTAACAAGCATCATGTCTACAAATGACACCACATTTATGACCGACAAGTGTATGATAAGTATCTTGTCTGCAAACGGCACCATATCTATATAAAGATAATGTATAAAGAAAAATGAAAAGTGATACAATAGGGTCCCTGGGGTTCCTGGCGAAGATCCACCTCTTGGGTGGTGCGGAAGACCACTATATTAAAATGGTTAAAATAAAGTTAAAGTACTAAACTATTCGATGTATAATCACATTGGTATGCTTTGTCCAGATTACTTTTGTGTTAAATAAGATAGTCATAAATATTTTTTAAGTAAAAACATGTTTCTTTTATTTTCAATCAATTCTTTCCTTTACTTCTCAATGTATCTTGCTATTTACAAAAGATATTATGCATTTATAATGTGATTTTTCACGTTAATGTGTAAAATTGGAACATATAAATAAATTAATAATATATTAAATGTTACTTGTTTTGTTTATATATTGCAATATATAATTTTTATTACTTTATTCTTATTTTATACATTAACGTGAAAAATCATATTCTGCAAATACATAATGTTAAAATATTTTATTAATATGAATATGATATATGTTTCATAAAAGACTGTAAATCTCAGAAAAAATATCGCGTCGAGCGAAAGCAACACGCCGCTAGTCGACTTAGTCGCGTGGAGCGAAAGCATTCGGGAAAGCATTTTCGCTGCCAACGCTTGGCAGAAGAAACGGTGCGAGCGTTTAAAACCGGATTTTATGCTAGGCTTGGTGGGAAAGAGATACAAGACATAGGTCCGCCCACTTCTACCGTCGACAGCCGAGCGCACACGGACACGTGATGTCAGCGGGTCTTGGTTGTGTGCGTGTGGAGCTCTCCGGGGAAAACTGGCAGCTCTGGATCTCGTACGCGTGATATTATAAGAATGCGGAGATTCCGGCGTGTTTTCGTGCTCGATTCTCGCAGAGCGCAGGCAGTCAGATATTATTCGGCTAGCGATCAGTACACAACGATTCCCGCGTTATCGTTCGGCATCGACGAAACGTTTGCTATCGTCGCATATAGTCGTGTATTATCAACGTTGTTGAAATTTTATTAAAGACTTTTGATTGAATTGTTATTCGGACCAGTTTTGTGTTTTTTCATTCTATACATCTACTCTCGTCGCGGACTCTCCTAGACAGTGGCCGTAACCAGATAAAAAATATATTTATAAAATTTTGATTCACAGCACGTTAAGTCGAAGGGCGTGTACATGTGAATTAATGGTCCTTCGAGCCGGATATGCGCCGAAAACTGTGTTTGCAGAGTGTCGTGTCATGTCTCGTATGCAAAAACTGTGTCCGCTCATTCTCGCGTCCCGCTGTCATCGGGATACAAAAAAACAATCTTTTGTTTAATTCAGTACTGAACTGTATAACGAGCCTTCGTCAGCAGCACTGCAAGGACGATTAAAATTTAAACCTTTCCTTCTGGAATTTTGCGCCGGACGTGCGCTCTCTCTCTCTCGCACGGCGGGCGGTCTCGCGCCAAAATTGACCGTCTCCCTCGCTCCAACGAAAGCGAGAGCCGGCCCTCGTGTTTTTGACGTTTCGCAGTTATTTAACTTTTGTCCCGCTTCCGCTTTGGTCAGTGGCATCCGTAGTGGAAAATTCTACACGTCGATTCGGTGACGATCCACGGGAATCAATAACGCTCGATCTTAGTGCCGTTTATCTCCGTGAATCATGTCGGATTTCGAGAACGGTCTCATCGCGATACGTGCGACCGTTCAGTTTATGTCTCGGATAGCCGTGAATTATAAGAAGGCCGGCAAGGAGAAATTCACGACTACGAAGACTAAGCTTCGCATGGAGCAGTTACGGGAGCACTGGCAAACTTGCCGTAAGCAGCACGTCGAGCTCCTGCAGGTCGCTGACAAAGACGATCTTCAAAATGATTACTTCACTGACGATGAAATTAGCAGAGCTGAAGCGGTGTTCGAGGACTCGCAAGATTTCCTTGCAGGCCTACTCGATAAACAGGAGCTACGTACTCCATCCGACGCCGATCAGAGTTCTATCAGCGTTCACCACCCGCCTGGTCACGGGTCATCAGCCTTCGCGTTACCAAAGATCACTATTCCAGTTTTCAAGGGCGAAATGACCAAGTGGGAGAGCTTCCGAGACACCTTCCAGGCCTTGGTCGGCGCCAACGAAACTCTCACGGACGCGCAGAAGTTACATTATTTGAAGTCGTTGACCCCGTCATGGACGGGGATGCTGCGCTTCTGTTAAAGCACATCACGACTTCTGACGTCAACTACGCTGGGGCTTGCAAGATCCTGCTGGATGAGTGTAACAACGCCCGGTCTCTAGTCCATGCTCATATTCACGCGTTTGCGAGTCTCACAGTAATGAAGACCGAAAATGCCACTGAATTAAAATTGTTGCGCGATACGGTAACCGCGTCGTTATCGGCATTGTCAAATTTAGGCCGAGATACCAATCAATGGGACGATTTACTTGTGTACATCGTTACTCAAAAGTTCAGCTCGCGTACCCGTACCGAATGGAACTTGCGTTTAGGCGCGTCAACCGATTATCCTACTTTTAAAACACTTCGCGAATTTATTACGGAACGTCTTCGCGGCTTATCTGACCTTGCGCATCTTGTACCTAATTGCGCTACTATCAGTTTTTCCGCGCGTTCCGATAAATCGAATAAGATCAAGGCAACGGTTCATAACACTACGGACCGTAAGTGTCCTTGCTGTCAAGGGAATCACTTCCTGTCGTTTTGTCAGGCCTTCCGAAAACGGTCGCTAGACCAACGCGCGCAGCTCGCTAGACAAGCACGCGTCTGTTTCAATTGTTTGAGACCCGGGCATTTTCCGCTAAATTGTACAAGTGAGAAGCGCTGTAACTCTTGTCAACGCGCTCACCATTCATTACTTCATCGCGACAACATCGGTGTAACAACCGCCGACGCTACGGATCAAGAAGGTACGAAATCGCAACGCGAATCCGCGGCAAGTAAAGCGTGCGAAACACAAGGAGCGTTTAATGAAGCTTCCACCAACGTAGCGACTAATTATACCGCATCTCTATGTTCGCGATCTCAAGCTCCGATTCCCGTCCTTCTCGCTACCGCTCGGGTCCGACTTCACACTGTTGAAGGACGAACTGTAAAGGCCCGCGCTCTCTTTGATCAAGGCTCGACATATAGTTTCATTTCGGAAGCTCTCGCTCAGAGATTACGTCCGACGCGAAGTCGCGCGAATTTACACATTACCGGTTTCGGGGAAGAATACTCTGGCATCGCGCGAACACAAACGAATCTTCTACTCGAATCATGTCTCCGTCCTGGACCGCGACTGCCGATTTCAGTGTATATTTATCAAAGGATTACGGCTTACGCAGCTACTCAAGCGTTTTCCGTCGACGCTTGGCCTCACTTGAAGAGCTTAGAACTCGCGGATCCCGATCCGTCAAGTAAAGAAACTATTGAAGTATTAATCGGAGCCGACCTCTATGGTTCATTGTTACTCGGACCAATCCAAAGGGGGCCTCTCGGTTCCCCTACGGCGCAGTTAACGTCCTTAGGCTGGATTGTTTCAGGCCCGGTAAAGCCATTGGATTTAGTATCGCTTCAGGAAGCGACGGTTATGTCTTGTGTGGCCGCTCCATCTCTAGACGAACTCATTCAAAAATTTTGGGAAACGGAGGAGATTCCCTCTAAAATCATTTACTCTCCAGAAGAGGAGCTATGTGAAACGCATTTTCGTCAAACCCATTCGCGGAATGCGGATGGCCGTTATATTATTCGATTGCCATTCCGAAATAATCAGCCTCCCGTTCTGGGCGATAGTTATAATCTCGCTCAGCGGTTGTATTCCAAAACGGAACGACGATTACTTCGCAATAGCGACCTTGCTGCGGAATACAATAAATTCCTCGCTGAATACGAAGTTTTAGGGCATATGGAGCAGGTTCGCGATTCCACCGCGCAATGTCGGCCTGTTTACCTTCCTCACCATCCCGTGATCCGGGAGAGCAGCTCGACAACCAAAGTACGCGTTGTATTTAACGCTTCGAGTGTCACGTCCAACGGCTCTACTCTGAACGATTGCTTATTAGTTGGGCCTAAGCTTCAAAACGATCTTGGCGGAGTTTTGCTGAGCTGGCGCTTGTATCGTTACGTCTATCTAGCGGACATTGAAAAAATGTTCCGTCAGATTCTGGTGCATCCCGACGATGTGGATTACCAGAGAATCGTCTCGAGACCGAATCCTCAAAGTCCGGTCCTATCGTACCGTCTCCTCACGGTTACATATGGCACGGCCAGCGCACCGTATCTCGCGATCCGTGTTCGACAGCTTGCCGACGATGAGTCTCGTCGCTTTCCGCAAGCTGCGAAGATTCTTAAAAATTCGGCCTACGTGGACGACCTTTTATTTGGTGCAAATGACATCGCGTCCGCTATACAATTGCGCACTCAACTTAACGATTTGATGCATTCCAGCGGATTTCACTTGAGAAAATGGGCGGCCAACGATCCGCAACTCTTGTCGATTATTCCATCCGGCGATCACGAGTTATCATGCGATCACGCATTCGAAGAGAATACAAGTCTCAAAGTCCTTGGTGTCGCTTAGCGCCCGACCGACGATGTATTCTTTTTTCGAACCGCAGAATTCACGGAATCGCGAACCACGAAGCGGACCGTCCTATCATTTATCGCGCGGTTATTCGACCCCTTAGGTTGGGCGTCGCCCGTCGTATTGTAGCAAAAATACTAATGCAAGATCTGTGGCTTCAAAAAATCGATTGGGATGAGACTATTCCCGAGTCACTTCTGCAAAGATGGCAAGATAACGTTAGTAGTCTTCCTAAGCTTTCTAATTGCCGGATGCCACGTTGGCTTAATACCTACGATCCCGATCACGCGATGGAGATTCACGGATTCGCCGACGCGTCACAGAGTGCCTACGCCGCTGTCATCTATTTACGGGTTCGTCACTCGCCTAATCGAATTTCGGTTTCGCTGCTCGCTGCCAAATCAAAAGTAGCGTCCTTAAAAACAATTGCCATTCCCCGCCTGGAACTCATGGCTATCGTACTCCTAGCCCGTTTAATAAATTACGTTTTGGGCGTGCTTGAAAGTCCGGATATACCGATTTACGGTTGGACTGATTCCACCATCGCACTAGCGTGAGTCAGTCAACACCCCTCCAAATGGCGAACGTTCGTCGCTACGCGAGTCTCCGAGATTCAGACTAAATTACCGACGGCGAAGTGGCATCACGTGCCGACAGACAGCAACCCCGCGGATTGTGCTTTGCGCGGTATTTCGGTCGAGGAGTTTCGCGTCCACCCGCTGTGGTGGTCAGGCCCGGCCTGGTTAAAAGATCCTCCCGTCTCTTGGCCAGAGAGAAAAAAATTGCAGGACGAATTATCGGACGAAATAGAGTCAAACGTGAATGCCGAAGTTCGCGTCGCTACCGTTGATCATTCAAAGTCCGCTCCCGCGGCGAATATATTCGATATCCACAAAAAATTTACTTCGTGGGGAAAATTGCTTCGCGTCACAGGTCACGTGTTCCGTCTCTTTAGAATACATAAAAACAGCAACAAAGCGAGCGACATGGCGGCCGGGGTATTGACGAGCCTTGATGTCAAGAAAGCGCGGATCTTCTGGATCCAACAATTACAAGCCCTAAGCTTTAATGCCGAATTCACGCGTTGCGTGCGAATTCCCCGCTAAGTAAATCGAGCCCTCTGCGTTCGCTGACGCCGTTTCTCGACGAAAACGGCATTATTCGGCTTGGCGGGAGGCTCCGCCACTCCTTACTCTCATACGATGAGAGATTTTCGGTGATCCTTCCGCGTCACCGCCTTACAGAATTAATTGTTGATCAAGCTCACTTGCGATCCTCGCACGGCGGTCCGCAGCTCACTCTACGCGTGTTACGCCAGAATTTCTGGATTCTAGGTGCGAGATCTCTTGTTAAATTTCGAATAGGAAAATGCATGGCATGCATACGCGAGAGCGCGAGGACCGCAAGTCAGCTCATGGGCGATCTACCGTCACCGCGAGTGACGCCATCGCCTGCCTTCTCCCACTGCGGAATAGATTATGCCGGCCCCTTACAAATCATCCCGTATGTCGGTCGCGGTCAGAACTCGCGAAAATATTATGTCTGCATTTTCGTATGTCTCGCAACTCGTGTGATTCATTTAGAGTATGTCTCAGATTACTCATCGGAGGGCTTTCTTGCAGCCTTTCGACGATTTGTCAGTCGACGCGGGTTATCATCCGATGTTTATAGCGACAATGGTACGAATTTTGTAGGGGCCGACCGAGAGTTGCGACTCGCATTTATAAGCGCGTGTAAGGATCGTGTCGTCCACGATCACCTTGTCACTGACGGTGTACAGTGGCACTTTATACCCGCGGCGTCCCCGCATTTTGGGGGACTCTGGGAGGCAGGGGTAAAGAACTTTAAACATCATTTAAAGCGTGTTATCGGAGGTTATACTTTGTCGCAGTTGGAATTCGCGACTCTCTTGTGCCAAATTGAAGCCTGTCTTAACTCCCGCCCTCTTGCCGCATTGACAAGCGATCCGGATCCGGACTCCTTCGAGGCGCTCACACTGGGGCACTTCCTGATAGGTCGCCCCCTTTTGAGTGCACCGGGCGAGCCTGTCTTAGAGATTAATGAGAATTGTTTGTCGAGATGGCAAAGGGTGCAGGCCATGCACGAACATTTTTGGAAAGCGTGGTCTTCGAACTACTTGCATACGCTTTATCAGAGGCAGAAATGGCAAACGGTACAACCACCGATTAAAGTTAACGACCTCGTGTTAATAAAGAACCCCCTGCTTCCCCCCGCTAAATGGGACATGGCCAGAGTCATTGAGACACACCCTGGCCCAGATGGTCACACGCGTGTCGTGACTGTTCGCACCGCGTCTTCAACGCTTAAACGCCCTATTACTAAAATTTGCCCACTTATTAGAGAAAACGAGTAACATTCTTTTACTCAGTGTAAAGGTCTGTCAAACATTCCGTCTGCTATTGTTCTATTAAAGTTTCCACCGTCCTAGGGTTTGTTCATTAGTCCGTTTCGTCGTTAGTACGAGGCGAGCGGTATGTTCAGAATTCAAATTGTATTTTTCGGCATGTAGGCTAATTGTGTTTGGCCATGAATTGTTTGTTTGACATCCGTTCAAGAATCACGTTATGATTTCGGTATTGATCACGACTATACGCGTGATCACCCGATCTCGTACGCGTGATATTATAAGAATGCGGAGATTCCGGCGTGTTTTCGTGCTCGATTCTCGCAGAGCGCAGGCAATCAGATATTATTCGGCTAGCGATCAGTACACAACGATTCCCGCGTTATCGTTCGGCATCGACGAAACGTTTGCTATCGTCGCATATAGTCGTGTATTATCAACGTTGTTGAAATTTCATTAAAGACTTTTGATTGAATTGTTATTCGGACCAGTTTTGTGTTTTTTCATTCTATACATCTACTCTCGTCGCGGACTCTCCTAGACAGTGGCTGTAACCGGATAAAAAATATATTTATAAAATTTTGATTCACAGCACGTTAAGTCGAAGGGCGTGTACAACATTTGTTTTATAAGTATCATTAGTTTATAAGTTAATAACTTTTATAAAATAAGTAATTTGCGTTCAACTAAATAAAAAATTTAATACAAGTTTTTTTATCTAAATAATTTTTAATGTAGACCTCTTTTTCTTATCTAAAAAGTCGTTCAATTAAAGCATTTCTTATGATAAAACCATCTCCAGGTTGCCAATGAGGTTGAGGAACTGGAACTTCGTCATTCATATTTTCTGCTTCTTTATTTTCTTCTTCCAAATTATCATTAAAAATAAGTGCTAGATTGTGCAAAACAGCACATGCTACAATAACTGTTGTCGATGTCAGTAATTTCGTGCTTAATCCTTTCGATAAACACGGAAATCTGCGTTTCCAAACACGAAAAGTTCTTTCGACAATTCCACGTGTTCTACTATGGATTTGGTTGTAACTGCAAAAAAATGTACATTAAATTCTTCGTGTTCGTGTGCGTGTGTGTGCGTGTGTGGTGTGTGTGGTGGGGGGGGGGGTGTAGGTGTGCGTGCACATAAAAATAACATAATTATAAAATTAAGACAAACCTTATTTCTTTATCAGTAACAGGATTATTAATCGGTGTAAGTAAAAATGGCAATGAAGGGTATCCACCATCACCGACGAGCATTCCGTTTAATTTGCCTTCTCTTACCGCATATATACACGTGAGTTTTGAAATATTCGGCTATCATGCTCACTTCCTGGCCATTCTGGAACGATATCCATTATTTCAGTGCGTGGTCCGACAATAACCTATATAAATAAACAATTACAATGAGAACATTTCCATGGATATTCTCTTCAAAGAAGTAAGTTGTTTCATGGATTATCTCCGTGTCTTGAGACATCGTTACATGCCAACGTTTTGTGAAGATTGCAATTTACTTCATCAGTGGCTGATACTTAAGCAGTATCAGGCTACCTCTCGCCTTAATAAAATTAACTGCTATGTTCATAAAACGTTGGCATTTAACGATATTTCAAGACACGAAGATACTCCACAAAACACAATTTATTTCTTTAAATTACAATAAAAGAAAATATAAAAAAATTCTTTACATTTATGGGCGTATTGCCCAAAGGATGTGTTCGACTTGGCTAAAGACTTTGAGAACCAATTTGTTAGAAAATAAATTTTATTTTCCTCGTCAGAGAAATTAATATGTGTACAAGTGGTGTATTCTGTTTCGATTAATTTATTGCGCCAGAGGCGCTTTCTCGGTAAATGTGTAAGACCGAGAATCAAAAGAAAAATTGACGGGCGCGGTAAAATATTACCGGCCGCGTCTTTGTATACTGAACGAGTCCTAAAAAGGACGATTCAATCGAGTTTGCTCGTTGTAGCCCCTTTCCTGGCATCGGAGGGACTCCGTTCGGAAAATGGTCTTCCGTCTGACAACTGCTTTCCGAGCAAGCTCTAGGCGGCGAAGTCTGGATGGCCACGGAACGAGTTTCCGGTGTGTAGATAGCTGCAACCGTCTCGGCTCTCGGTGTTACAGAATGCTCTGTGTACCGAGGAAAGAGAGGTCTCCGAATTCGGATGTCGCCTGGTGTGAGAGTGTCCTTGGTGGCCGAGTCAACCGGACGCAGAACTCTAGGGGAATTAGCTTCCACGCCAGAGTCTGAGGAGGTGACGGCGGTACTGCCGAGTCAGCGGGCCGCTTGGTTGAAGTGTGCGGTCGATGTTAAAACTCTGTTTTCCTTTTACGTGCCTTGCGAGGCAACGTGAGAAAAACGGCGAGACAATTTGCCTCTGGTTAAGTTCTGCTAAAGCAGAGTATGACTCAGATCAAGGGCCCTCGGAGAGAGCTCGCCTTGAAGCGAGTGAGTGAAGAAATATCTGCGGAGAAGCTCTTTTATATTGCTTCGATCGAAGCTTGATCGCGAGAAAGCTCTTCACCGCCTGCGCAATCTGGCGGTGTATCCGCAAGCTCGCAACTCGGTAGAAGGCCTGCGCGTAGCGGCGCCGCGGCGTAGTATGCCCCGTCAGTGTAGCGGTGTGGCGATGAGCCGCCACAACATTTATTAAAACATAATTAATAATAGAGAAATATGCGTAATTATTTGTATTGCTTAATTTATAATATTATACCTGGACATTTAAGAAAAAGTATCCTTTCCGATTGTGATATATTTCGTCAATATTTTGAAACCTCCTATGAGTTAAACGAATATGTGTACAGTCTATCGCTCCATCAATTGAAGGAAGACCTATAGCTCTAGGACCACATCCAAGTTCTTTGAACAAACGTCTGTTTTCAGAGCGTGCTTGATCTAATATTGGCATTTTTAAATATCTGTTAATGTTACTTGCTATTAAACAAGAAACTCGAAAAATAATTCGTGATGTTGTAGATTGTAAAATCTGTATCACATCGTCCATGACAAGCTGTAAAAATAAAATTATTATAGTAATTTCTACTCATATTATTATACTTTATTACTAATATTATTATACTAATATTATTCAATAAATGAATATAATTTGAAAAACATTTATTTAAAAAAGTATATATGTATAAATACATATATATGGGGCATTCTTTCTCAACTTTACACCCATGCTGCCCATTTTCTATTTGATCTAAAAATTTTTGAAAAAATTTTAAAATTTACAGAAAAATGTAAGCTTTCCAATTGCGCGTGGCAAAATTATCAAATTCAATTGGATCATACTTAATATTTCAGAAAACCAAAAAAAAAATAAAAACGGTAATTATTCAAGTGCAGCGATTATTCATTCGACGTTTTTCTCTTCCAATTAATACTTTCGAGTACTCTGTTTATCTGTACACTGTCACATGAGTCTAAACTAAAATGGCAGATCCAATATGGCCGCCAAAAATTTAAAAAATTTAAGAAATTAACTGATTTTTATAAAACTTGGTATCAAGGGGTTTTTCGGGTTACTGTATACGAGTCTAAAGTTATCTTGCGAAAATACAAAATGGTGGATCCAATATGGCCACCAAAACATTTTAAAAATTTTTAGAAATTAACGAATTTTTATAATATTTGGTATCAGGGACTTTTTCAGGTTGCTAATAACGAATCTGAAGTCGCATTTCGAAAATTCAAAATGACGGATCTAATATGGCAACTAAAAATTTGAAAAATTTTTAAAAGTAAGGGAGTTTTA